TACAAATAAAGTTTTTGCTTTGAATAAAAGAGATTTGCATTCAAGCAGTATGCTTACTTTTGGTTAGAACTTAAATCACATTGGAACTTTGCGTTAATAAGCCCGTGAGAGTAAACATAAGGATGGTGAAATAAATTGATCGAAATCGATCTGTTAAATAAAACAAGTAAAAGCCACATGGGTTTAGTTTGTTCCAACACATCAAAAATAAAGTAAATGAAAAAATAAGCTCGAAAAAAGAAAAATTAAATTTATATATACTTATATTATTTAATAAAACAATTTACATAATTATCTGATATAAAATCCTCTAAATGATCTGGAAAACAAAAAAGTGTACAGATCCATTATTGTACATACTAATTATTTTTACTTTTACCACACATTAACGATTTCATTAGCACACATATGAGCATCATTAATATTTAATTATTGAAATAATAAGCAAGATAAGACACCGAAAGCATTTTTTGTTACTTTCTAATTTAGGCTTATTTTTTGTTGACCAAAGTACTGTTAAGTTTAATTTTTTAAATAAATTCTGTACATACTTCAGTATAAAAAGTTATTTTGCGAAGTTAGGAATCCTATGCAAGTGAGTTTATTGTGAATTGTTTTCATCCAGAAACGGTTCATTGTTTCTCCAGATTCTAAGCTTTGGAATATTAATTTCCTTGAAAGGAACTTTACCGTCAAAAGCCCGCGGTTGAAGTGTGACGAAAATACGAACAATTCGCGTTTGTCACGAGAGATAAAAAAAATTTTGCTTATTTTCTCAACAATTCGGATCGATGAGTTGAACCAATCATTGAAATGATTTATACGTCGTCGCGGCTTTTTGTTGTGCCCGGTATAGCACGGTTGTTGTTTTGTTGCTTTTTTTACGTAACCGCGTTTTATTTTCAAAAACCAATTATTTATAGTGATTTATTCAACTAGTTTGTTAAAATTATTTGAACGAGAATCTCTAGATGGAACTTTGTTTGTTCAGGAAATGTCTCTCACATTTTATATCATGAGTACAATGAATTTCCTGCATTGTATTTGTTTTTTAACGCAATGCTGTTTCGTTTTTCCCACTTAAACCACATCAGAATTATTATTTATTCGGAGAAAATTTATCCACAGGACGTGGATCATTATCATTCAAGTTTAAAAACAGTACAGACTGACCTAAATCAAAACCCTTAACCATGGAATTTTTATATCCAAAAGATAATTAAAAACACTTATCAATCTGGATTATTCAAGAACAATTATGCAGCTTTGTCAGAATTCTATAATTAAAGTATGAAAACCCGTTTTTCACATTGACGTCACTTCCGCCCACCTGTAAAACGCCCTTTTATTAATTTATTTCTCGTCTGTACTTGAAATGATCATTTTTCACCCCTAGAAGCTCTACTTAAGTCGACCCTGCTGTTTCCGGAATTATGATAACAACAATGTATCTCTGGGTACTAACTCGGATTATTTAACCTTTCTCTAGGTTAAATTATTTTGTGACGGGTGATTAATTCACCGTGGATATGGTGTTTATTTTATAACATTTTTTTAAACGATTGATATTAAGTAGCTTTTATTTTTTCCGACATCCTGGTCTACCTAATTTCCTAAATTATATGCCAAAATCGTCATACGTTATAATCTATAAAAAGAACATACAGATGAATGAACACAGACTGAGCTAATAAATATTTAATTTTAAATAAATATTTATCTATTCATAAACTTCAGCGAACATGCATTCTCACAGTACATGTAACAATAAAAAATGTATTTTTATAATCTTCTATTATTTCTATTTCGTCATTTTATTTTTACAATGATGAAATATCAATAGAAATTACCGAATATGTTATGAAACATCACCAAATTTTGCAGCAGTGACAAAGGCTGATATCTTATTTTTTATTAAAACTGGTTTAATGAAGCCATCAACTAATTTTACAATAGCTAAATACACTTTAGTCCATTCATTAGTGTTACAGTATATCTAGCTCAGTTCACTTCGTAACTTTATCTTACTATCTAGCAAATGGTTTTGATGGTTCATGGTGCTGAAAAGATATCAACTATCAAGTCATTATTGATTGCCAAAATGAGAGAATTACTTACCAGGTTAATGGCCGTTAAAAAGTAATAAATTAATATTTTATAATGTTTTTTTATCGTAAGGTAATCAATTTAGAATATGGGAAAGTTTACTGTGTAGAGTAAGCCATCTCTTCTGTCGTCTTACGGTGACTATGTAACAGGTATATGGTGTTCGGATGGCTTTGAAGATGGAAGTAGTGCTTATAAGCATACCGTGTGATCTCCCAATCGATGTGAAGGATATTCCGATCTTTGTGTATGCCCCTATAGCGAACATACCAAGGAGCAGCTACCATATTTCGTAGAACTTTATTTTGGAACCGTATTATTATAACTGTATTTCTTCTTTTGGCACACACCAAAGTTGTATAGCATACATCCATTTATGTTTTAGTATGTGATTATAAATCATTATTTTGCATTGATAGCCAGGAATTCTTTATCAGCAGGCTACAAATTTGCCGGTATTTGAAATCAAGTTCTTTCCTTTTTTTAATATTTGCATTATAAATTTTTTAACTATTGTTATTAGAAGAATTACTTACTGAATTGTGGGAAGGAACTAATTTAGCATTGAAGACAATTGATTTGTCTTCTAATTTTCTATTTGTGAAAATTACGGATTTCTGTTTATTTATGTTGACCTTCCAAGTATCTGACCATTGATGGATGGCTGTTGACTACCATTGTTTGTAGGTTCGTGGTTGCATGCATACGTTTTTCGACTGAGAGGACCTCTGTGTCATCGGCAAATGTTGCGACGGTTATGTTTTCCATCAGTGGTAGGTCACTTGCATATAGCAAGTACAACACGGTGCGCAAGATGCTACCTGGTGGTACGCCAGCCTTGATTTCAAACAACTAGGAGTATTCGTCTTGTTGTTTAACTTTGGAAGTCTTTCCGAAAGACAGGAGGTCAAAATATCAACATATTGTTTTGGAAATATTTTTTTAGCTTATGTGTTAAACCTTTGTGTCAAACCTTGTCAAGGGCTTGCCATATGCTAGGAATAAAGCTGAACATATATTTTTATCTTCTAGAGCTTTCTCTACAATATCAGTGATTCTATGTATCTGATCTATGGTTGAGTGCTTGGCTCTGAATCTGGTGGTTTGATATAACGTTCCTTTTTTTCAATCTTTTTAGCATAACTTTTTCGAATAATTTATATACACACATAAGAACTGGAAATAATGATATATGGCTGATGCCTTTAATTATAATATTACTTAACGGCTTTTTGTACACTAAATTAGGATTAGATTTAAATAATTTGCATAGTAGTATCTACAATATATTATTCTTTATATACTTTTCAATAAAAAATATTATTTGTTTGATAGTTATTATTTATCAGTTAGACTGTGCTAGTTATCAGAAGTCATTCTGAATGATAAAAGTAGAAACGGAATTTTTTCAATATTCCATGTTTTTTCATCTCCGATCGAGAACTCATTCCTGAAAATATTCTACTCATGTAGGATTTCTTTTCGGTTTTGGGCTTTTTTTAAAGTTTTCTCGTTTGTCTTTTATTGAACTAAGTCTGATATCGGTACCTTTAACAGTTTTCCCAATCCCAGAATGTTCAAGATTATTCAACCTACAACCAATTTCATTTAAGTTATTTCAGCATCAAATTTAATGAATACGCCTATGATAATAAATTTTATCAAATACTGAAAAATAAGAGAACAAGAATCGAGAATTGTTTGAAAACAAATGTTCAAACTTAATCTAAAAATAACCACTCTCCGTTGTGTTTGTTTGCACGAGTTATTATCAATTGTTACGTTTCAATCTTCCTTTTACTCGTCTACTTTAATCAATCTCCCGGGGCGTTTTGAACTTTATCCACGGCAAATAACAATCGGCTATTTTAACAGAAAACCGAGCCCCGTTGGATTTCGGAAAAGGCCACCGACGCAAAGTATTATCAGGTCGTTTGTTTGCCCTGAACTCAACCCAAACAAATGCCGGGCGTTATATTACTCCGTCGTGCTTCTCTTCGACCCTCTCAAAGAATACAATAGAAAAATATTTTCACTGCATTCGGCTGTTTTCCCAGCCGTCAGATAACTAATTTTGGAGTTGAGAGGGCACAGCTACAAAAATATTCAACCCTGCGATTAAACATTTCCAGCTGAATAAGTAAAGACTTCTCTAGAAAATTTTACACCATCGAAATATTACCATTTATTAATAACACAAATAAAGGATTGTGACCTTCAAAATATTCAGAAATAACCAAGAAATGTTTATCGAAGTCCATCCAAAATGCACTGTGCAATAAAGATTAAAGTTCTGCACCATTAACAATTACTTATGACTGACTTATGAAATAATTATTTCAAATGTGTTGTGTTTAATGACCGTTAGTTAATGATTATTTAGAGATCGTGAGATGCGGTTTGTTGTGATTTGGGTTTAGAAAAACGTGTGGTGTTTAATGACCGTTCGTTGATGATTATTTGGAGATCTTTATTGAGATCATCTACAGGGCTAAAAGTGTATGTTTTCTATGAGATGTGTCATTATTGTGTGTCGTGCTGAAAGTGATAGTGAGATATTGATTACTGTTCAATCTCACTGGCACTCTCACAGAAAACAAATACTTTGAGCCCTGAAGATGATCTCAATAAAGATCGAAACGTTGGTACGATAAAGAAAATGTTTTTCTAAACCCACATCACACCAGACCGCATCTCACTATGTCTAAATAATCATTATTTGAAATTATTAACGCTTTACTTTTATCCATTACTCCATTGAACTGTATGATGGGCAATTAATATAAATTTTATCCTAACAAATGTTGGCATTTTATCATTATTGATTTTAAACATTTAATTAAAGTTATAACGGATCTGTACCACAGGTTTAGTAATGACTTCTTCTTTTACAGGTTTCTATCGGTCAAGAAGTGGCTTCTGAGAAAGAAGCACCAAATAGAACTGGCACGGAAAAGGGGATGGAAGGGTTATTGGGTCTGCCTCAAAGGCACGACTTTGCTCTTTTATCCTTGCGATTCGAGAGAAGGAAGATCAGTCGAGGCGGCGCCGAAACATCTAATAATTGTAGACGGAGCCATAATGCAGCCCATTCCGGAACATCCGAAAAGGGATTACATCTTCTGCCTCAGTACGGCCTTCGGAGACGCCTATCTATTCCAGGTGCGTTGACATTTATTGTCTTAAAGCCGTCTAGGTGATTAGATATTCAAATTCTATCGTTATAATACAGAGAGGGAACGATTTATTCCCAAAGCCCGTTTAAGCAACGCGCTTCTAGGCCGATATTTTAATCGATACCTTGAATTGTATTTACAAACTGAGAGTCCTAGTATTTAGGAGGAAAAACAGAAGGACATCTACTTGGATGGCAGCCCACAGTTTTTGCATAATTAGATTCATTTGACCACTGACAATTTTTAATAAATTTATTTCTCATTAAGAGACATCAATGGAACACATTAAATCAGCATATAGTAGATTGTCAAATTGTTACACTAAAAATTTCAATTATTCGTACGATACTCCAGTTTTCCTAACGAATTATGATAAAACATGCGAAAGAGTCTGACTGAAAATAATTTAAAAATTGTTCGATAAAATATGTGAATGTTTATAATTTTGAATATAATTAAATAACATGTGAGAAATGGTTATCGACCAGCCATAGATAAACGATGATTTTTGAGTATCAGGGATGTGGTCCAATTGAAGAGTGTTATTATATCTCCGCCAAGCTTTCGACTCTTCATCCTTCCGTCTTCATCAAGGCTCAATTATGATTATTAACATTGTTAATCATAATTTTGGTTTATAATATATATATAAATTTCTCTTAGAAAATAGGCTTATGTGTACGCTGTAAAACCATTAACAAGATAAACATATTACCAATAATAACCTGAAGAAGACTGAATAATGAATCGAAAGATTGGATGAGGTATAATAATTCTTCACCTGGATTCTCAAAATCATCGTTAATAACTAAATAAGTAATATATGTAGTTGTGTAGTTGTTGTGCTAAATAATAGTTTAATTATAAACTTCAAGAAAATTACACTGGACAGTTTTTATTTCTACTTTGTCTCTTTTTTTACTTGTCCCGAAATAAAACATTATTCCCTATTCATTATTGTATTCATGTGGGTAGTCGAAAAAATGTCTGTTCTCCAAGATCAAAATTTCCACTCGCAATTTGCGTTTTAGACCTTTCTGAACAAATTTGATTCCGAGTCTGCCTATGGTCAATTACTTGTAACCGGCAAAACTCCGAAATGAGACCAATTTTTATGAAATTTTCAATTATTTTGCGGGTTGGTTTCTAGATGGTCCTCTATGAATTTCATCCTAATCGGATCAACGGTATCGGCTGCGAACGCGCAAACGTAAAATCAATCTGTCAGATTCTTTCATTTTCAGATTTTGCAGGTTGCTTTCTAGATGATCCCTACAAACGTTATTACATATGCCCATGCGCATTCAGAACATATGAGGAAGAATACTATTCGCTTGATACTTAAAAGAGAGGCCTAGAGGGCGGAGATTGAACCAAGTATGGGTGGTTGGTTTGCGGAGCGGAGCTGGCGTATCCTGAAAAGGTGAGCTTGTGAGGCTTTGGGGACTGACGAGCCGCAGCTTGGCGAGTTGCTTTTTGAAGGATCTCAGTGAGATGCTGCAGAAGAAGGGTAGATTATTCTATTTCTACAAATGTGGTAACATTGAATGAGTAGGTGGGATGTGTGTGAGAGCGAGCGTATCTCGAACATTTACCCTTTTTTCAATCCAAATCCTGGGACTGGGCAGCGGGTGCTCCTAGGAGACTCCAGCAGACCGTTCCCAACCCTTGGTCGCAAGGGGGGTTTCCAGGCACAAAATAATAGTGTAGCCCTGAGAACGTGACGCACTCTCTAAAGCACAAGCTGGCTCGTGTTTCCTGGCGCGCGTGGTCGCCTTAAGCAGCCTCTGCATGCATTTGGAAGACAGGGCAAAGGAAGTGTATAGCGTGCGAGGATGCTAAGACTACGCCTACCAAGTCCCTCGAGATGCATTAAGGGAGTTGCTGGCTTGAGAGCTGGCCGAGAACGGCGGGTGCTGCATCAGTTGTCTTTTCTATCTAGGGAGTGCGTGGGAGACTTGGCCGATGCATTTCGACCACTTTTTTGGTATCCCTTTACGCGCGGCACTGGTTGGTAGTCGGCACACCTCTCGGAAGGGGCATGCGGGAGAAGTCAGCATGTCTGTCGATTAGTTTGTGGATTTGCGGGCTTCTACACCGAACCTCACGGAAGAAGCAGATTTTCGTGCGCGGAGGTGACTCGCTCCTAACTTGAGAATCTAATCGTGTAATTAGGCCTGACGCTAAAGAATCTCAATATTAATATAAGACATTGCAACCCGAGTGGGAAACGGATGATGCTTAAAATTGCTTTCTTCATAAAATCCAATTAACCAAAGGACGATTGAGCATAATGTTGCTAAAAGACTCAAAACTGATAATCGATCTGCCGAATAGAAATTGCTGCAAAACTTGCTCTTCGTCCAAATCCAAACCGTTCACTTTTTTCAGCTCGAAAATTCTGCGCACCTGGTAGACGTTTGTTCTGGGTATCAGGACGATGTCTCTTTGGGGTATTGCACTCGCTTTTATTTTTATTTCGCAATTTGATAACAGTTTGATTTACTGCCTTATCATAATTTTTGTTAGATTCTGTTGCTCTATCGAAATAATGTAGCTGGTCGTTAAATTTCGTACTCCATTATTCGAATGAGTGCTCGGTTGTTCATCCTTACGGCGATAAGGATTTCCGTGTTCGTCGTGCCTTTGTTTACTCCCTTCCGTTAAACCTACCTTCATTTAATTACGTTTTGATGATCCCTAAAATTATGTTTTACTCCGTAATTTTTTATTGTTCTGATTCGATTGAAAATCCCTATTGCTGGAAGTTATCGTAATTTGTTCTTTGCCAGTCTTGATTGATACTTCGAGCCGTTCTACTCGTAAAATTAAATTATCTAATTGTTACAAATTGTTTGCTCTTTCCATAAAATGAAAACATGTTCACATATTAAAGCCTACTCCCGATATGATAATGTCCAACATCTCGCCTCAAAAAATTTCCAAGGAAACTGGCAGATCTCATAAACATAATCCCGAAAAGATTCATTATTCTTTTGAGATTAATATATATATACCTTGCGTATTTAAACCTTTGGTATTTAAAAAAAATAGCATATACAAAATCATTTCTTTTACTGAACGTAGAACCCTTTGCGGAAAACAAATAGGAATAGGATTATTTTTTAAATAAGTTTCTATACGAGTCCAAGTAGAACTGATTTAATTTCAGATAGAATAAAGGTCGTAACGATAAGGCAATGCCCATGTTATTAACGTACTAAATGTTAATAACCGCGATATGGAAATTTCGGGTTTGTTGGTAATTACTTCGGCGAAGATACACTTAAGCGCGCTCGGACTTTCAATGTCTAACTTTAAGGCGTCGTGGACCAGAAAAGACTTGTGAGTCCTCACTGGCTGTATATACACTTATGTCCGAGTACAAATGTTTACTGTGGCAGGAAAAGAATTTTTCTTTCGTACAAGCTTGCATTTTCATTTAATTGTAATTTGTTTTTATTTGAAAGTGTTTTTTGTATGTCAAAACATAGGTTTGCTAGTGCTGTTTTTGTTAACTGTACAGCCAATCCGCCAAATATTTTGGTCCTCCAGGCCGGAGCTGAACAAGCAACAATTTATGTTTGGTCCTCCTATTTTTAAATTAAATTTAAAGAGTTTTTTCTTCACTTTTCAATATACTTTACTTTCATATTTAAAAAGCGCTGTCTAAAAAAATTAACACTTTTATAGTAAGATTTCTTATTGAGATCTGCGAGATGATGAACTTTGCCATATTTGCATGTTTAGCTACTTAATGGGTAAATGTAGGGTTTAAATCGGCTCTCCTATCTTTTCTCGTAAGCTGTTGTAAGTTGGTCCGCCTATTCTCGCTATTTTGGCAGTCGGAAGAACTACATATTCATATTCTTTCTGTTTCCACCTCTTTGTGTACTTTTTTGTACGTTCAGCTACTGAATAACTACATGAAAGATTTAAATCTGCTGTCCTATCTTCTCTACAAATCTGTAGTAAGTCGGTCGTTTCTTATGATCTTGGTCCGCGCATACCCGCTGCTTTGGTTGTCATATGAGCTACTGCGTTTTCATTTTCTTTACGTCTACAAGTTTTTTGTAAGTTTTTATCCTCACTGATCATTTGTTTATGGTAAAATTAAATAAGGGATCGTAGCGGCGGGTCGTTAGGTCGTCCGACCCCTTTCTACTTACCAAACGCTTTTGGCTTTTCTCTGGATTCCTTTGGCTCTTGTTGCGAGTAGTCTTTTGTTTGTCTCAACTTGCATTCATCCCAGGATTTGTTGATCTTTAGTAACCCAAGATAGATTAAGATTTAAGACTTCAGTTTTTTTAATGTTAAGAGATGGATCGACCTTGTATTTGTAAGTGTGGTATTCAGGTAATAGGTCACATAAACATAGAAACTCCCAACTTCATGCCAAGCTTTCGTTTAATTTGTAAACATCTTCAGGCCCTAATACGAAAAAACGTATAACTATAATCGAACTGATAATTCACATTATTATCTACTTACTGAGTTAGTTTACAATTTCTTTATCACGTACATATTTAGATGTTGGCTAGATGCATAAATAATATATAAAAACAACAAATAAAACATCAAAAATACTAAAAACAATAATAGATAAATTATTTTTCACCAATGTGGTTAAATTAATTAATAAAATAATATAGCGCACAGGAAATGATAACCCTTCAGCAGAGAAAGTAAACATAGCATTGATAATAACAATTATTGATCAGAGAGTGTAAACGTGAATGTTATCTGGTGTTTCTTTTTCTTTGTTTTTTATCCAATTATATTCTCGTAAATATTACTTACACACATCCAGTCTATTTGTATATTACAGTTGTTTTTGTTAAATTTTATGTATAACTTTTCTTTAAACTTTCGTCTGCTCGACACTGTTTCCTTGTCCAATATTTTGTAGTTTTCTAAATCGGGTAGGTGTTTAGATTCATGAACATGATGTGAGTAGTCCAGTATCTTGTCTACTTTGATTTTTGC